CCCCAAAACCCCAAAACCCCAAAACCCCGGCAGCAAATTGTAAAAGCAAAGAGGGATTGTTAAAAATAAAATTATAATTTTACTAAGGTATATTGATTGATTCAAGATCATGGAACAAAAAGAATATAAGTAGTTCCCTAAATTTGTAAAAATCAAACCATCGCCCTATGGTACTATATAATACCAGGCTATGGATAAACAAAAGCTTAAAAGCATGTTGAATAGGACTTTCCACAATAAAAGAAGCACGAGCTCAAACTATTCAAAATCAGATTTTAATTTGACAATGAGCCTGTAAAAAACTTATAACAATCGTGAAGAAGGAAAGAGTGAAGCTATCGTTGATTATAACAATAATTCATAGCATAATGAAATCAAGGAAGAAGTCACAGAAATTGAGAATAACTAATATTCAAACAACGACGAAGATAATGGTTATAGACGGTAGCAAGAACGGAACATACACACATCCCAAGGTGGAAATCGTAAAAATGCTAGCAACTCATTTGGGATGACGAAATTAGACAATAATTTGAATGAAAATAATCAGTCAACAATGGATTCAACATAAAATATATTTTCAAGAAACAATAAAAGGGCTAGTGTTGGATCCTTGTTAAACTAAAGCTATATAAAGGCAGCAAGCAAAACTTTTAGTAAAGATTATGCTATGAACGGTACAATGAACTACGATTCTAATGCTTCTATATATCCGACATACTACAACCCAGTAGGACCAGGTTAGTATTTTGATAGCTCTTCGAAGTTAGGAAATGTTACGATTAGCAATAAATTTAAGAATGCACCTTCATTCAAATTTGGAAAGGGCAAGAATTTCAATCACACAGAAAAGGCATTTCAGACTAGCACATCTTTTAGCGAGATGAGGTCACAGAGCGTTACAGCAAGTGAGAAAAAACTTGACTTTTTGTACCCCTAGTTATACAATGTAAGGAATCGGTCTCCAAATACTCTAATTGGCAAAGAAAAAAGATCATATGCATTTCCAGTGCACAGAGATAAACTAGCGAAGCCATTGTCATTTCTTAATTAGACAAGTACAATTTCAAAGAAGAATGTAATTCAATTATGACTAGTTATATAAACACTGTAGATTGCATGGTAGAATGAGCTGAGGTATTTTCAAAGATCAGCTATCAATATGAAAGAAACACCAGGAGTTGGAGAATATACACTTTCGAGTATTGAACGACCTTTTTCATAGGCAAGTTCATTTTTAAGAGCAAATTCATAAACATTTCCTAAGGAATAAAGAGGAGAAATCAAGGTATTGATTAAATAACGAATTTACTGTCTTTAGGTGTATGATACTGTATATGAGAGAGAATATTCAAATAAGATTGGTCCGGGACCTTGCGGCTATGATACTATTTACAGTTCAAAATACCTAAGTAAAAATGCTAAAGTATCTTTCTCAAAGGTAACTCATCCTTGATTTGTTAATAATCATTGCTGAATCTAAATAATAGGCTAAAAGAGATCAAAGTAGTAGCATGATTAAAGGTCCAGGGCCAGGTTACTATGAAAATGATGTTCATTAGTATAAAAAATCTAAAATATCTGAGGCTCCTAAATATATCATGCCTAAAGCTTACAAGAGATTCGATATTATCAAATGTAAGTCGTTTAAAATTGATACAATTCTTGAATAGACGGGTCATTTTGTGATGAGATAATTCAAAAAGGATACTTTTGAAGCATACTTAAAAATATATCTATGTTTGGATTAATATATTAGAGTTAGCTTAATAACATTGTTAACATATATTTAAATTTGAAATAAAGTAATGTGTAATTTAGAATTAAAATCGTTATTTCATCATATTGAGATTGATTGCCATCAGAGTACACGTCAATCATATTTCTGCCATTAAGCAATTGAGACAATTGACAAAATGAAGGCTCCAATGTAACCAAGATCGCAGATAATGGCACCAGCAGTTCTGTGCTTTGGGCTTTTGCAATATCCAATTGAGTAGAAGATTCTTCCGAAGAAATACACGAATCCAAGGATAGCAGCGGCTAAAGGCTGGTAAAAGCTACCAATAAAGATCCAAATAATCATTGGGGTAATCTATTCCAAAAAGTTATAATGGACTCTTTGCCAGTTGTTGAATGAGAACCAGTCTCCATAGTTAAGTCTGGCTGCATATCTACCATTTCCAGTATCAGGGTATCCGAGAGCTGGGGCTTTTCCACCCACTTCTTTCTCGTGCTATTCATCGAATTGGCTCATAAATTCCTTGTTGAATACTTTGCCTCTTTTAAATACTTGAGCAATACTATAAATATTAGATTAGACAGATGTTTATCTTCAAAGTATTTAAATCCTTACGTGACCATTTCATATTCAAGGACGATAAGTAGAATTGATAAGAATGCGAGTCCTTGATGACCGATTGTAGTATTATCTGGGTAAGCCATTAAGTTTTGAAGATATTAATTATAATTTTGAGATTATCCTTAGTTTAAGATTCAGCTTCAATATTCAAATGAGGGGTTTTGGGGTTTTGGGGTTTTGGGG